TTTTTTTTTTCTGAAAGAGAGAAAGAGAGACAGAGAGACAGAGAAAGCAAGCGCACCAGGGAGGGACAGAGGGAGAGGGAGGGAGGGAACCCTAAGCAGGCTCCACGCTGTATGTGGAGCCCAACGCAGGGCTCGATCCCACCGTGAGAACGTGACCTGAGCCAAAATCAAGAGTCGGGTGCTTAACCAACTGAGCCATCCAGGTGCCCCCCTTGCCTCTTTATTTTAAATTAATGTAACTATGGTGAACAGTGCCTAAGGAAGCCATAGGCCAGCTCAGATCCCAGTTCTACTATTTCGTAGCTGTGTGACTTTGGGCAGCTATTTATCCTTTGCCCCAGTTTCCTCATCTGTGAAGTGGGATCATAATGGAATCTGTGTCCTAGAGTTATTAGCAGGATTCAATGAGTTAATTCATCTAAAGCCCTTAGAATGGCTTCTGGCCCAGAGTCAGAGAAAAATAAACATAGGTCATTGAATTTCACCAAATATGAATGTTTAATATTTTTAAAACATTTCTATTTCTTGATCTTTTTTCTATGTTTTTATTTTACTTTGGAGAGACAGACAGGGTGTGAGCTGGGGAGGGGCAGAGAGAGAGGGAGACACAGAATCCAAAGCTGGCTCCAGGCTACAAGCTGTCAGCAAGAGCCTGATGCAGGGCTAGAACTCACAGAGCGTGAAACCATGACCTGAAACGAAGTCAGTTGCCTAACTGACTGAGAGTCATCCAGGTGCCCCTCTATTTCTTGACCTTTAAATTTTTTTAATGTTTTATTTATTTTTGAGACAGAGAGAGACAGAGCATGAGCAGGGGAGGGGCAGAGAGAGAGGGAGACACAGAATCCGAAGCAGCCTCCAGGCTCTGAGCCATCAGCCCAGAGCCTGACGCGGGGCTCGAACTCACGAACCATGAGATCGTGACCTGAGCCGAAGTCGGACGCTTAACCCACTGAGCCACCCAGGTGCCCCATATTTCTTGATCTTTAAAATACTTTTATTACAGGAGCACCTAGGTGGCTCAGTCAATTGAGCGTCTGACTCCTGATTTCAGCTCAGGTCATGACTCTGGGGTTGTGGGATCAAGCCCAAGTTGGGTTCCACGATGAGCAGGCAGCCTTCTTAACATTCTCTCTCTCTCTCCCCCTGCCTTTCCCCCACTTTCACGTGCACATGTGTACTCTCTGTCTCTAAAATAAAAATTAAAAAAAAAAACTTTTATTACTTTAAACTTGAAAGAAAATTTAACTACAAATGGTGTTTCAGTCATATAATCGATTAAATATACTCTTATTAGGTAATCTGAAGATCTTATATTCACAATAATGTTCCTGTGGAAAGCTTATTTTGAATTCAGAAATATTGGCAAATGAAATTTTGAAGTGCATTTTATCTAGAAGATAGGGAATGCTTACGTTAAAAATGCAAATGTACATGAAACTATGACATATGATTTAATTTATCAGAAACTTCTTTACTCTTTTGAAATAGGATTTATTTCATAAACAATCCTTCTATTTCTATTGCCATAGCTGGTATACCTCAGGCACCTGTGAAAAGTGTAAGTCAGAGGTGAAGGGATCCAGGATCTCCTTGCTTATTCACAGTGCTTGACTTTTACAACCAGGCTCGTGAATGCTAGAAAACACTGCGTTTGTATAAAATAACCTCTTTAGACTATACCATCTGCACTTGCCCGAGGGGTCCGTTTCCTGAAAATAATTTACTCAGCTACAGAACTCTGATCTGTACCGGTAACTACAATGAGCAGAAGGTTGCACTTGCAGTGAGGAAGCTGATCCTACGAGCTACTTCCTTTCCATCTCTCCAAATAAGGCAACACCACCGCGTCTGCAGACCTGGTGAAGTTCTGCTTCTTTTGGAATTAACAGCAACAGAATACGTGTTGGTAAAACCGCCAGATTTAGCAAAGGAAAACTCGATGACCAGCTGAAGGTGATTTTCAGACACATGAGGAGTATTTTTTTAGTATAAATGTGTCCCAAATATTGCATGGGACTTATACAAATAAAGCATTCTTTGTGTTTCTGAAATTCACATTCATCCAACCATCCTGCATTTAATCTGGTCATGCTATTCGTTGGGAGATTATTTATTTCTAGACATATTACTGCTCACTCACTTTCTCTCTCCCTCTCCCTCCCCCCCACACATGCACCATGCACGCATGCAACTTCATAATTTGAAGGAGTGCATGTGTTTTGTAAACAACTACCCTAATTTGTATTTATTATCAAGGTTTTGGAAACTGCTTTCGTTTGTGTTGAAATTAGAGGAAAAGTCCATAATCTCATGTAATTATATTTTATTACTTCTTTGGATCTGTACAATTACAGAAATAAACTAAGAATTCAGTTTTTATTCTAACTCATTTATGTTCTCAAAGTTAAATGGAATCTGGTCTCAGAACAATTTAATATGAGATAATACTGCCACCTGGAGACCAGAGGCAGGTATGACTAAGAATCAATCTAAATTCTAATTCTTGAATAAGTAATCTGAGTTATGGTGACACTTGATTTAATAATGCCATCTGCCACTTGCCATCATATGGGTCTAATTTTTTCCTCATTTATTCATTAATTGAATGTAAATTTTCTAATTTTCTATTGTATGCCAGACACTACGCTAAACTTTGGGGATATAAAGATGTATAAAACCTAGATCCTTTCATGAGTAGCTAACAGATTGGTAGGAGAGACCAGCATGTTACCAGCTGTCATCCCACGTACCCCTACCCTTTAAGAGTGACGCAAAATGGAATATAATACTTGTCCTAATGTAGTGGGAAACTCCTCTCTTTCCAAGATTACAGCATAGACTGTGGTTTATAATTTTCTACTCACCTTGGACTCTAAGCTCCTCCTTCACCTGACATAGTGCTGTTTATACATCACGTTACTGTTACACACACGTTGTTCTTATTCTCCGTAAATCTCCCAAAGATGCAGAACACAACGCTTTTCCTTGATTTTCATAATGTTCATACAAAGCTTTGATCCTGTAGAGAATTTATCTTGAAGTTTGGAAGCATGGAAGACGTGTGTGTGTGTGTGTGTGTGTGTGTGTGTGTGTGTGTGTAATCAGAACACTACCAATTACAAATCGAACAACAGACCTCATTGATCTTTTTAAAGTCTTCTCCCTCCCTCCACTTTGACTCTCCTTTTTCACTCTGCTCCCTTCTTTGCTGTCCTTTTCTTCAACATTTCCCAACCCCTACCTTCTACTACAGTGAGCAATTCTTCCCAGATTATTATATAGAACAATTCAACTTTCTCAATTTCATATCCCCAAACTCAGCCTCCTGCCCACCTGTGCATATCCAACACTCCTTGCTCCATTATGACACACAATGGGCCATCTTCTTGGAGTATCATCTCCCCTTTTCTCCCTGTACAAGCTTTATTTCCCCTTGACAGCTCTTAAAAAGCAGAGCGGTAGCAGTTTAGGTTTTAAATAACATCTTAAAATTTCCTTGTTGGTTATTATGTGTTTTGAGGGCCTCTTCTATTCTTCCCTTCCTCCCTGCCTTGCTGCCCCCCTCCCTCCCTTCTACTCTCTCTGCTATACTGTAAGCCATCCCTACAAGTATTTACTAGTCTTGTGGTGCTCTTTGGTGATACTGCTCAACTTAAATCAAAATTCAACAAAGGAGAGAAAACTGATGGAAGGGTTGTTACGCAGTATAGCTAATTTTCTGATCAGTGGTATGCTTTGCTTTCTGGTTAAGCCTATAACACAAGCCTTCTTCTAAAGCTGGAGTGTTCCTACAACAAGAACTTGGAGAAAAGATATTGGAAAGATGAACTGTCCTCTTGCTGAGATCTCGCTGAGACTGGGATATCTTGCGGATACCTTGCTGACAACCGACTGAGTGGCTCAGTGGGTTAAGCGTCCGACTTCGGCTCAGGTCATGATCTCACGGTTTGTGAGTTTGAGCCCCGTGTAGGGCTCTGTGTTGACAGCTCAGAGCCTGGAGCCTGCTTTGGATTCTGTGCCTCCCTGTCTGTCTGCCCTTCCCCTGCTCACACTCTGTCTCTCAAAAATGAATAAACGTTTAAAAAAGTTTTCCGATTTTTTTAAAATGGAGGGCGTGATGGTGGAAGGGCATCCCAAATTAGAATACGTGGGTTCTACTTTGTTCTGCCTCTCTAGCATTGATGTATTTATATCAATCTCTAGATACGGCTTCCTCATTAACAAATTCAGGAGAAATATGTGGTACTATCCATTGCCTCTTCAATCTAAAGATCTACAAACCTAAAACCTCCCTACACGGGAAAGGACATCCAGACGAGGGAATGAAACCTGGATCTCGCCCCTCATTTAGGATAGTTCTGTCCCTCACAATACACAATTCCTTCTCCAGAAGAAATGTATATAGTGATAGAACTGTTTTGGTGACGAGAAATGTGCATTTATTAGCTTTTTTGAGTGTCAAAGTCCTCACATCTAAAAAGAGGGTTAACACCTACCTCATGGAATTGTAGTGAGGATGGGACATAACGCCTGTATAGGGTCTGAACAGAGTAGTTATTAACAGAAATAGAATCTCATTTAGGGGCTTGGCATGGTGTCATTAAACAGAATCACGGTTTTTCATGGCGCCTTCCAAACTTTACCTTGAGAAGTCTCCGGGAGGTAGTTGATTCAGTTGCTATGACGACACTCCGGTTCCGCCTCCGCTCTTGCTCGAATGGCATGCTGGGAATTGTAGTGCGTGGGAGCCGACGTTCAGCCAGGGGGCGGGACAGCTTCCGCGAAGCGCTCTGCGTCTCCCGTGCCTGCTTCCACTGCCACGCCTATTCCTCAGTGCTTGTGGGCCACAGAACCCAAAATAAAAGTCCAACTATGGGTCTTTGTTTCCACGTCCGCCTAAAATACAGCTGAGAGCAGGACAGTAGAAGCAATGCGGTGGCAAGGGCGGAGACGGGAGCCGTACTGGAGTGGCAGGAAGAGGCGAGGCTCCCGCCGGGATGGGGGTGGGGGACGGGAAAGGGCGGGCACGGAGGCTCCGCCTCCTTGCGTCACTTCCGTAAACAAAGGGAACTGTGGTGGCGCTGGGTCCGGGATGTGACCCCGGCTCTAGCTGCAGCAGTAGCGTCGGAGGCTGCAGCTGCGGCGGTGGCTTCGGAGACTCCGGAGTCTTTGCAGGTTGAGGAAGAGGATTCCGATCCTCTCCTTCCTCAGGTATGAAGTGGAAGCAAAGGCGCTTCCGCATTGTCCCCTTTAGGCCCCTTCCACCACCCACTCTATCCACCGCTCAATTCTGGGAGGTGAAGGGTCACCGCGTTGGCTGATTGGGGAAGGAGAATAAGGTGAAGTCAGGAGGGACTCCTAGTCCTTCTTGAAGGCCGTGGGTTCCTGGCACTCAGTGAGTGAGTAACTGCGAAGGCCTTCTCTAAATGGTTCCTTGCTGCTTGTTGTACCGGCGGCTTGCCTTCCAAAAGCGGATACATTTCCAGTCCTGGCCCCTCAGAATATCATAGTTTAGACCACTGTTGGTTTATTTGAATTGCTTTACTACCTTTTCTTTTTCCTGTATCACCAAATGGTCTATTAGCATCATTAAATTCGAAGTCCATGTGTTTATGTGTATCACACGTTTAAACAGATGCTTGTCTCTTTGGAGAACTGATGCCCCATTGTCTCTCTTCAGCTGTTTATTAAAATTCCATTTAATTTGTGTTCATGTCGAAACAACCCCAAAGTGTCTGTTGTGTTACTGAAAATTCTTCTTAAAGGAAAAATTGTTAGCCAAGATTTGAATGGATTTACACTTGGTATCTGGGATTAGAGACTAATCATTAGAACCTTTCCTTTAAAACTTTTGCTTCTTTGGGGGTATTATATATAAATCCAGTTGTGATTGTCTAGGGTCAGCCTGAGCCAACTGAGCTGAAATGGTTTAAATTCCAGTGCTGGTGGTACTGAGTTTAGACAATGGCAAAAAAAAATCTGTTTTAGTTAAAATTTTTAAGTAATTATTTTAAGAGTGACATCAGTGGATTTGAATCTTTTTGAGTGGCCGTAGCATGATTACATTCAACACCATGTACACAAAAAGCTTAATAGTGCTAAAGCACTTTGCAATCTGTTGAGGTAAATAGCCATGTAAATTTCTCATCTCATGATACAGGAAGCAATATAATTAAGAACAATTTAATAGTATGCATACGTAAGAATGTAGAAGGATATTTTTCGATGGATGGCTGTGAGGAAGATAAAGTAGTTAATACATGAAATAAGGGGAAATTATTGGATAAACAGAAGACCTTACACATATTCTGTATGGAAGGGCCAGCTAGAACTTCATAGTGTAACTTTTCTGATACTAGCAAAACTAAACAAACATATACAGTTTCATGTATCATTGGAAATAGGTAAAGAAAGTATATTCAGAATAGTCATGGAACGAGTTTAATTTTATAGAACTTCACTCGATCGAAGAACCAGAATCAGTATTATCCCTAGGCAGACACTGAGTTTGTGCTTGGTAGTTGCAATAAGGTTTCTAGTCATTAGTTAAAATGCAAATACCCCCTGTCAATTATACGTCTGTTATTCTTCGAAGAATAAATTTTAGCAGGGAGATCTAAAGACCACCTAGAGCTTGAGTCAGGCTGGGAATATCTATCACATGTCTATTTTGTTTCTTTTTTGATGCATTCTGGCTATTTTGTTTCTTTTTTTAACGCATTCTTTCCCTTCTATCATGTAGGCTCTTTGAGAACAGGGACTTTGTCTTGTTCACTACCGTCTTCCCAATATCCAGAATAGTGCCTGGCAAGTGGAAAAGAGTAAATATTTCTGGATGCGTGAATACAGAAAATGATGGAAAACATTTTTGTCTACCAGTCCATTTTGCTTAGAGCTTCTGTGTACATAGCACCGTAGGTTAAACTTAAGGGATCCTATTTTAACTTTATCTAATGAGCTCTGAAATTCTCAATCCTCTTTAAGCCTATGAAGTGGGTCTTTAAAACCCTTTCACTTTCACATATTCTAGCATATGTGTATAATTTTGCTGTATTTCCTTAGGTCATAAGAAGCTGGCCGTGGTGCAATAAGGAACTTAAAACAATGGAGGAGCGGAAACTGAAGAGGCGGAGTCCTAAGTCTTTTAGTGCCCACTCTACTCAGGCTGTTAATGCCAAAAAAAATGCCATTCCAGTTAGTAAAAGCACAGGGTTTTCAAATCCTGCATCACAGTCAACTTCGCAGCGACCAAAGTTAAAAAGGTGAATTCATTTCTTTCAGATTATCACAGCAAAATGCTGCCAACGTAAATACTAAATCTAGTAATTCTTATAACCCTTGTTTTTCTCTTGGCTTAACTTTTAAAACAGTGGCAGCATCTATTATATGTGATTTAGAAAAAATTTGTGAAAGGTATAGTGTGTAGGGATTAGCACATGCAAAATGAATGACGGGTTTGAACACCCTTACTTTGTCTCATATTAAACAGGACAGAGTGAGAAAAGTCATAGACAAAGTTGATGCACTAGCCAGAAGAGGGAAAAAAATGTTTTTTTTTAAATTAAGCTGAGTGTGTTTTTATATATATATATATATATGTATAATTTTTTTTAAGTTTATTTGAGAGAGAGAGAGAGAGAGAGAGAGAGAGAGGGATGGCAAGCAGGGGAGGGGCAGAGAGAGAGGGAGGGAAAGAGTATCCCAAGCAGGCTCCACACCATCAGTGCAGAGCCCGATGTGGGGCTTGAACCCATGAACTGTGAGATCATGATTTGAACCAAAACCAAGAGTCGGACACTTAACGAGCTGAGCCACCCAGGTGCCCCATGGTAGGTTTTATCTTTTTTAAAAGGGTGGTTTTATTATTGTCATAGAAGTGATTTGTATTTGTTGTAAAAATTCAAATACAGGAAAAGTTCAAAGAAGAAATTTAAAACACTAAAATCCTGGGGCGCCTGGGTGGCTCAGTCAGTTAAGCATCCGACTTCGGCTCAGGTCATGATCTTGTGGTTTGCAAGTTTGAACCCCACATCGGGCTCTCTGCTGTCAGCGCAGAGCCCGCTTCGGATCCTCTGTCCCCCTCTCTCTGCCCCTCTCCTGCTTGTGCTCTCTTTCTCTCTCTCAAAAATAAATAAACATTTACAAAAACATTATAAAAAAATAATAAAGATAACTATATGCGATTAATGTTTTCATTGTGCTATCTGCAGAGTGATGAAAGAAAAGACCAGACCTCAGGGAGGAGAAGGAAAAGGCACACAGCCGGCTCCCATTCAGCACTCCTTCCTCACCGATGTCTCAGACGTTCAGGAGATGGAGAGGGGGCTTCTCAGCCTTTTGAACGATTTCCACTCCGGAAAACTTCAAGCGTTCGGCAAGCCATAGATATTTCTCTGTTTTTCTTTTCCAGATGCTCGCGTCCTATTTTCTGCATTTATTTTGCCATTCCTTTTTTTTTTTTCATATTTATTTAATTTGAGAGAGAGAGAGCACACATGTGCAGGGGAGGGGCAGAGAGAAAGAGAGAGAGAGAGAGAAAGAATCCTAAGCAGGCTGCTGATGGTGCAGAGCTCAATGCAGGGCTTGATCCCATAAACCGTGAGATCATGACCTGAGTTGAAATCAAGAGTCAGATGCTCAATTGAGTGAGCCACCGAGGTGCTCCTATTTTGCCATTTATTTCAAAAATATCATTTTCTTTTATTAAAAAAAAAAGAATCTATTGGCATAAAATGCAATCATCTAGATTTCGTTTGTCATGAACTATAATTTGTCATCTAAAATTTCATGAAAAAGTTTTTGTAAGAAAGGAGGGTTAGTAAAAATGTTGAAGTAGGATTGCTATTATGTAATAACTATCCTGAAAGTAACAAATAAAAGGAACATTCTTCATCAGTTAAATATTTTAGACTTAGTATTTTAGTTTGGGAAAGCCTCAAGGTCATTTTTCTTTACCCTTTTAAGCCTAAACTTATTTCTTGCCTACCATCCCTGATTTTAAATTTAAAAGAATCTGGTGTTTTTGTTCAATCATGAAGCTATAAGAACAGTTAACTGATTGTTCCATTAGAAACTCCAGGTAGATGGGGTGCCTGGGTGGCTCAGTCAGTTGAGCATCCGACTCTGGCTTAGGTCATGATCTTGCAATTTCATGGGTTCAAGCCCTGTGTCGGGCTCTGTGCTGACAGCTCAGGGCCTGGAGCCTGCTTCGGATTCTCTGTCCCCCTCTCTCTCTGCCCTTTCTCATGCTCTGTCTCTCTCTCTGTCTCTCTCAAAAACAAACATTAAAAAAACAAAACAAAACAAAAAAACCTCTGAGTAGGTATTTTTGTATATGAGTTCACAAAGTATATGGTCAAGAGTTTTTATGTTCAGCTTGCAACTTACCTTATAACCCTTCTCTGATAAAATTATATCCCTGTATTTTTTAAAGCAATTTGAAAATTATTGAATGCACACATACAGAATTTCACATGAATGCATAAATGTCATCAACATACATACTGGTTTTTTGAAGTGCTATCCTTTCCTCCCGTACCTCTTTATTCCTTGGTTTATTTTTTTCTTTCTTTTTTAATTAATTAATTTAAATTCTAGTTAACATATAGTGTAGTATTGGTTTCAGGAATAGAATTTAGTGATTCATCCCCTACATATAGTGCTCATCCCAATAAGTGTCCTCTTTAATGCCCGTCACTCATTTAGCCCACCACCCCCAACACCCCTCCAGCAACCTTCAGTTTATTCTCTGTATTTAAGAGTCTCTTATGGTTTGCCTCCCCCTGTTTTTATTTTTCCCCTATGTTCATCTGCTTTGTTTCTTAAATTCCACATATGAGTGCAATCATATATTTGTCTTTCTCTGACTGACTTATTTCACTTAGCATAATACACTCTAGTTCCATGCACATTGTTGCAGATGGCAAGATTTCATTCTTTTTGAGCACAGAGTAATATTCCATTGTGTATATATACCACATCTTTTTTATCCATTCATCAGTCAGTGGACATTTGGGCTCTTTCCATAATTTGGCTGTTGTTGATAGTGCCGCTACAAACATCTGGGTGCATGTACCCCTTCGAATCAGCATTTTTGTCCTTTGGATAAATACCTAGTAGTGTAATTGCTGGGTTGTAGGGTAGTTCTATTTTTAATTTTTTGAGGAACCTTCATACTGTTTTCCAGAGTGTCTGCACCAGTTTGCATTCCCACCAGCGGTGCAATAGTGTCCCTTTCTCTGCATCCTTGGCAACATCTGTTGCTTCCTGAGTTGTCAAGTTTAGCTGTTCTGACAGGTGTGATGTGGTATCTCATCGTGGAGTTCCTTGGCTTCTTATCCCCTCCCTGACCACACCCTCTCTTGGCTCCACCTCCCCCCACCCCAACTAGATAACCATGTTAAGAACCAGGTGTATATCTTTTCATATTTGTCTCTAGGTTATGGCACAAATATATATATAAACATACACAAAGATTTTAGTTTTCATTGTTTTATACAAATTGTATCTTATATGTACTTGTCCCCATCTTGCTTTCCTCACTAAAGAATATCTAATGAAAATCTCTCCTGGTCACCTGGTATAGCTCTAATTTATTCTTTTTTTAACTTTTTTCTTTTTTTTTTTTTTTTTAAATTAAGTAGGCTCCGTGCCCAGTGTGGAGCCCAGCGTAGGGCCTGAACTCACAACCTGAGCTGAGATTAATCAAGACCTGAGCTGTAGTTAAGAGTTTGGGCGCTCGCAATTCGAGCCCCGCGTCAGGCTCTGGGCTGATGGCTCAGAGCCTGGAACCTGTTTCGATTCTGTGTCTCCCTCTCTCTCTGCCCCGCCCCCGTTCATGCTCTGTCTCTCTGTCCCAAAAATAAATTAAAAAAAAAAAAAAAAACGTTGAAAAAAAAAAGAGTTGGACGCTTAACCAACTAAATCACCCAGGCACCCCTAATTCATTCTTTTTTTCCAATGGCTACATAATATTCCAAGTTGTGAATATACCACAGTTTATTCAACCATTTCTCTGTTGAAGGGCATTTACTTTGTTTCCATTTTTTTTTTTTTTCGCTTGATTTTATTTATTTTGGGACAAGAGAGACAGAGCATGAGCAGGAGGGCAGAGAGAGAGAGACACAAGTCGGAAACAGGCTCAGGCTCCTGAGCCATCAGCCAGAGCCTGTGGCAGACTTGAACTCAGGACATGAATCGTGACCTAGCTGAAGTCAGGACAGCAACAGGCCTTCATACCCAGGAAGCCCCACTTTGTTTCCATTTTTGAGCCCCTAAACATAACGGTGTAGTGAACATCTCTTTACATACATATGTATGTCAGTGCTTTTATTTCTTTGGGATGGATTACCATGAGTGGGATTAGTGGGTCAAAGCAGTAATTCTGATTTTAGTACAGGTATCCAGATTGCCTTCCAAAAAAGCTATTGTCCTTCTAGTTTTCATCCACAGTTTATGAAAGAACTCTTTTCTCTGAATTCAACCAGAAATAGGTATTACTAGCCTTTTAATTTTGCCAGACTGTTGGTATGAGGTGATATTTCTTTTATTACTGTTGAGTTTGTATATATTAAGAAGTTGAATTGCTCATTTCAGGACCTTTACCCAGTTTTCTGTTTGGTTATTTATCCTTCTGTTGGTGGTGGTGTTGCCAATTGCTAAGAGCCCTTTGTATATTTTGGATACTAACCACTCCAGCTGCTGTATTTTGGCTTTTTTGTTTTTGTTTTTTTTTAACCAAATTGAGTATGTTTGTGGACTTTATGGTATATTTAACCTTGTAAAAGTTTTGAATACTGAAATATGTTTTATCTTTTCTTATAGTTTCTGGGTTTCCAGTCTTGGTTAGACTATTAATTTGAAAAGAAGACATGAAAAACATATTATTTATTTCACAGAGATATTTTATTATATCTCTACCTCCTTGCTTTACCTTGACCCAGTTTAGATGGTATCTCTAGAACACTTTCACTTTCCCTTCTCTCTTCTCTCCCATACCTGAGATTTAATCTTTGAATCACTTCTTTGCTTTCTTGCCAACACCCTTTCGGCCCCCCCTTTTTAAAAAATTTTTTTTAATGTTTATTTATTTTTGAAAGAAACAGAGCATGAGTGGGGGAGGGGCCGAGAGAGAGAGGGAGACACAGAATCTGAAGCAGGCTCCAGGCTCCGAGCTGTCAGCACAGAGTCTGACATGGGGCTCAAACTCATGAACCGTGAGATCATGACCTGAGCCAAAGTTGGATGCTTAACCAACTGAGCCACCCAGGCGACCCTCTGCCCCTACTCTTATGTAGCTTGTTTTCTTGGATTGAAGTCATTCTCTGTTATTTGTCAGTTTGCTATCTAGAAGTATTGTAGATACAAGGTGGATTGCCCATTGAATTCTTTCTTAATAGGTAATTTTTTTCTGTCTCAATGTTTGAAAGTTTTTTTCCTTATGTTTTTTCATCAATTTTGCCTGGGAATCAGTGCACCCTTCCTATCTACCAACTCATTTTCATCTGAATGGACATTATTTCTGTTGTTAATTTATTTCTCCATCTGTTTCTTTTTATCCTTTTGGAGCTTCTATTGTTCTCATGTTAGATCACCTGGATTCCTTGTGATTTCTACTTTATAGATTTATATTGTCCCCCTCCCCACTTTTCTCACTCTCTTTTTCTATATATATGTTACATATTGATACATTTATATGTATGCCAGTATACACACACACACACACACACACACACACACACACACACATACAAACACACACGCCTTTCTCTCTTGAGGTATTTCTCCCACTCGATCTTCCAGGTTACTAATTGTTAGAAAACATCATTAAAATAGAGGAAATATGAGATATTTTCTATAAAGAAAGGATGATTTTTAAAGAGCTGTAACTAGCTTCAAAATTATTAGTCAACATAATTTAATGTTGTCAATCTATGAAGATGATACAAATCTAGCCTGGGGAAATTATAATATAATTACATAAATTCATACTGATTCAAGATACATACTTCAGCTTTAGCTGAGCTACAGTATACTTTTGAGAAAACCAAGGTTTTTTAGAAAAAATTTTTAGTATCAAGAGGTTGTAGAGGCTATACTTATGTATATGAAAATATGTAATATGTACTGTATATATTTTAGTTGCCCTGAGCAGGTAATGCCACCTGAGAGAACTCTACTCAGTAAGTAACGTAAGACCTGTCCTTTAGCAATTAAGTTGTCTTGCACTTACATTAGAGCATACAACTGAAGATACTACATTATGTTTCTCATGCTTCATAACATTCTTCGTGTTTCATAAATATTTTCATCTATATTTCTTTTTTCAAAGTTTATTTATTTTTGATGGGGGGAGGGAGGGACACAGAGAGAAGGGGAGAGAGAGAATCCCAAGCAGGCTCTGCACTGTCAGAGTGGAACCCGACGCACAGCTTGAACTCACCAACTGTGAGATCATGACCTGAGCCAAAATCAAGAGTCAGATGCTTAACCGACTGAGCCACCCAGGTGTTCCTCATTTATATTTATTAAAGGAATAATTGGTGGCAAAATGATTCATGGTTGAAGTTCTTACAGGACGTTCAAGTTCACTCATTATAAAACGTTGGGTCGCTCAGTTCAAATGGCAGGTGTCAGATTGAACATGATTAGATCATGCTATTGCTTCTAGAAATGATGTTACTATTGAAAAGAGAATTTTCTTTACCTAAGGGATGATTTGGGTTTTGGGGTTTTTGTTTTGCTTTGTTGTTTTAAATTTTTAAAAGATTTTATTTTCAAGCAATCTCCACACCCACTGTGGGGCTCATACTCACAACCTCAAGACCAAGAGTCGCAGGCTCCACAGACCAGACGCCCTGATGATTTTGTTTTTTTTAAAGAAAATCTTTCCAATCCGATTTTCTTAGTACCCACAGCCATTTCTTAGATTATTGCTTTCCTGGTCAGAAATTCGATTTGTGTATTATACACAGAAAATAGGCAGTCATTAACACTGTAATTTACAACAGAAGGAAAACTAAATTCTTGTGAGTACCTTGAATTTACAAGTTTTTCCTCAAGGCAGTTAGTTTGAACTGTCCTAATCTTTATTAATGTTCTGGGATGTTCCCCCAGGAAATGAATGTTCCATTGAACAGATGGAACATGTTCGGGGAATGCAGGAGAAATTAGCTCGTTTGAATTTGGAGCTCTATGGGGAGTTAGAGGAACTTCCTGAGGATAAGAGAAAAACAGCCAGTGACTCCAATCTGGACAGGCTTCTGTCTGATGTGAGTATAATTGTTTTATATACTATAATTCTTTTATATAAACTTATGAAAGGATTTGTATATATTTCTTCATTCTTTCTTTAATCAAAAATTTTTATTGAAAGAAAGTTCATTGTTTTAGTCATGTTGAAGTATACCGTTTAGTGGTTTTCAGTGTATTCACAGTGTTTTGCAGACATCCCCACTGTTTAATTCCAGAACATTTTTATCACCCCAAAAAAGAAACCCTGTACCTCTCAATTCTCCCTCCTCTTCATCCCTTAGTGGCCTCTAATCTCCTCTCGGTCTGTACAGATTTGCCTATTCTGGATATTTCATATAAACAGAATCACACAATATGTGGCTTTTTATGTCTGGGTTCTTTCCCTTAGTGTAGTATTTTCAAGTTTCATACATGTCGTGTCCTACTCTTTCTTAGGGAAACATATTTCAAAGAAATTGTCACATTTATATCTAAGCATATATTTTGAGAATGCTGGGAAATCTAGAAGTGAAAGATTCACTTCTGTACATATATGATACGATCTTAATGTATAAGGCGGTCCTGACATGATTAAATACGTTTTGTGTTATTTACTCAGGTAGGTGGTGGTTACTAATGTTATATACAGAACTATGTGTATGTTTCAGATCCTTTAGTGCATTGCTCTGTGTATTAGCTTGCTAAAGCTGCCATAACAGAGTGCCTTAGACTGGGTACACCTGGAATTTATTTCTCACAGCTCTGGAGGCCCAGAGTTAGTGAGCAAGGTGTTGGTAGGGTCGGTTTCTTCTGAGGCCCCTCTCCTTGGCTTGTAGATGACTGCCTTCATCTTTCCATGGCATTTTCCTTTTATGAGTGGGTGCCTATGTCCAAATTTCCCCTTCTTTTAAAGACACTAGTCCCTATTGACCTCATCTTAACTTCCTACCTCTTTGTAAGACCCTGTCTCCAAATACACTCAAATTCTGAGGTATTGGGGGTTAGAACTAAAATGTACGTCTTTTGGGAGGACGTAATTCTGTGTGTAACTATTATGATTCTTACACTGAGAGGTATTAATTAAATTGGCTTCTTTAAACCTTTTTTGGAGTAAAAATAAAGAAAAATTGAATTCAGTGTTCTTCAGTTTTGGAATAGTTTACATATTTACTAATGACAAAAAAGGATTAATTCTGTTGCTTTTCTTTATCCTTTGAGTAAGTAAATGTGAGAGAAATTGTATGCCTATACTTTTAAAGTTTCAAGCCTGTATGTTTTATTTCATATGTTTTATTTCACAAAGACTATGTTTAGCCTCGCAAGTATTTCCTTTTACCGGGTCCTCATAAGAAATAGAAGCTTAATTTGCATTACATTTAGGAAAGTGACTGTGGAGTAGTGAGAAGACCAAATTTGAAACCAGAAAGGCTTTGTTTAGTCTGGGGTTTGCACTTCAGTTATATCTGTGTAACTTTGTCAATGTAGTTAACATTTCTGTAACTTTGATTTTTCCCTCTGTAAAACAGGTGTGATTAATTCTACCACATACTGAAAACTGAATGATATGTGAAGTCTTTTCGTAATCCACAAAGGTTTTTAAGATTTTGATCATGAAAATGGCAACTTTTTAAAAAAACTATTAGAGATGATTATAATTGTTCATGGTTTTAAGAATCCTTATAGAACTCTAGTTTTGCTTATCTGGTTTAATTCTCTTCTCATATTTGTGTTTAATACATGCTAAAGCTACTTTATAATTATTTTGCATAAGTGAATTTCCCAAGCTGGAAATTTTTGGGAAGTTTTTTTCAATATTTTATTTTTTCGTTTAGAGAAAGCTTAAATGAAAACCAGGTTACTTTAAAATGTGTAAACAATTATCTACTTATTTTTCCCATAAAAACTGAAATTAAATTTGTTTCTTTGTGTTACAGTTAGAAGAATTGAATTCTTCCATGTATCCTTTTGCCTAATATCAACAGTGAAAAGTTTACAAATTATAACTTCTGGTGAATACCTCAATCAATGAACAAAGACACCCATGATGATTTACTGGGGCCATTTCTCTTCTCCTTTGGTTTCCAAATGGAATTTTTAGTTGTTTTGTATGCTACAATTTTGTTTGTTTCTCATTTGTTCTGCTTTGCTTTGTACTGTTTTTGGATTTTTAAAACAAATTTTTAAAAATCAACCAAGAGAATTGAGGATTGGGTTAGTTGCCGTAGAAATTATCTCGAATCTTAGATTCTTAAGTTAAATAGCAGTTGGATATGCAGACATAATATGCCATGCTTAGTTTCCTGTCATTACATAGAATACTTTAGATGCATATACAAGGTGTATTATAGGAGGAGCTTAAAAGAAATCACCAAGGCGTGTGTAAAATATTCAGGTTTTGACATTACAATTTGGAGCAATTATTTCAGGAACTTTTCAAAACGTGTTTTTGGACATAGTCCTAGGCACAACGTGAGATAAAGAACAATGAGAAATGATCCTGCCTATAAAATAATTTGAGAGGTATGACATCCTTCTGAACTAAATAATGAGATACCAAAAAGGATACTGGTTGTAGGGTCAAGACATTTGATTTTTGAAATTTGGTTTTGATAATTTTGCTAATTAACCTTGGGTAAATTGCTTAACATCTCAGAGTGTCCTCTGTAATATGGGATAATTGCTGCATATAATGATGGAGTAATTATCTAGTTTTTCTAAACTAATATATATATATATTTATATATATATATATAAATTACTATTATTGTTGTAACAGATACTGTTACTACTTGCTAAACTATACAGTAACAATGAAGAAATAAGTATATGCAAATCCAGTGATAACGATTAATAGTTAATCTTAATTGAGTACTTACTAATTGCCAAGTATTTTATGAAGGGCTTTACCTGCATTTTCTCATTTGGTCCTACCCTTATAAGTAGGTGATGTTATACTTCCCATTTTACAGATGGGTTTTTGAGAAGCCACGTAAACTGTGGGGAAACATTAATGTAACATATCCTTGCTAAGAAAGACTTGAATATGGGGATAAGATATGAGTTAATTAGGGGGCTTCTCTTAGTAGTAATGCCTGGTGCTTTTTTCTTTTCTTTATACTCATTTTGAGCTTCATATTCTATGCTTTGTACTCTTTCTAGGCTTGTGACATGTCAGTATCTCCTATCCTCTTATCTGAGTTTTTGTTAGACATGTAGACTCATTTATCTCACCACTTTGCCTGATTCAACCACCACAGTTAAACAAGGCAACATGACGGAACACAAGAGCATGGGCTCTAGGTTGTTTGGTTTCAGATCTTGGGAAGCAAGTGTGTAGCTTTGAGGCAAATGTAGTTTCCTCATTTGCAATAAATGTTCTCTCTATATTCATACTTTCCTCCTAATTTCCTTCTCTGTCATCGGTAGCCTCTGTTATTTTCAGTCTCCAAAGGTTATTTAAATCCCTTCTATGATTAGACCAGACATTGCTACTCGGTCGTGGAACTATCTGCCATTGAGCCAGGACATGGACATGGAATGATTTGCCACTTCTTGATTACATTTAGTTGTCAGGCATCGTCGGTTCTGCCTTTTATTCCTCCTTCATCCCCTATCCTCATCCCTTTATTCCATAACCTTTCAAATTTCTGTTCCAGCTCTGGAGATGCACTGTCCAATATGGCAGCCACTAGCCATGTAGCTACTGAGCACACAAAACGTGGCTAATATGAATTAAAATGTGCTAAAAGTATAATTTGTACACCTGATTTCAAGATTTAGTATAAAAAAATAATGTAAAATGTCTCAAGATTTTTTATGATTGCATGCTGAAATGACAGCTTTTTTATATATTAGTGTGAATAAAATATATTTTAAAAATTATACCTGTGGCTTGCATTATATTTCTTTTGGACAGTGCTGCCGTAAACTTTAGACAATGACACTAAATAAATTAGTCTTCTTAAAAACATCACTCTCCTCTTGCCATTCCTATTTCAGACCAAGTTTTTTACCATGTTAGACTTTTTAACAGCTCTCAATAATATAATCACAGCCTATGCATCCTGTTATATTTTTCATTCCCACTAAGCTGGTTCTCTGGGTGTCTAAGAACACATCATGTTCATGCTCACCGTAATGCCTCTGTTCAGGTTGTGCTTTCTACCTACCACTGCCCTGGCCTCCCCCTTTTCCCCCATCAAGTAACACCGAAGCTGACCACTCTCATAAAGCATTTTATTTATACCTCCAACTAGCATTCTGCCTTATTTCACTATCTTTTGATTTTTATATGTGTTAAATTTCAGCCCTCCAACTGGATGGCAATGGCTTTGATGACAGCACTCATGTCTGTATATTTTTGCAACCTCTGCCATACGCGTATTGCTAGCATTTAGTTGTTCTCAGCGTATTCACAGCATTGTTGGAATTGGGTCTTGAAGAGATAGGTAGCAGGTGGATCATATGGATGGATGAAAGAACAAGATGAAAGCCAGTGATGATAAAAGAAGGGAGGGGGGTAACCTCTGCAAGAATTCCACACTAATTCTAATCTTGAAGAATAATTCAGGATTATAGGGAAAGTTTTAGAGCTATGATGATTTGATTTTTGACTTTTACAAAGAAATTGTTTTCCCAAGGATGATAAAGTGGTGTTGTTCTCTCCAATGATTTTTGTTTAATCCAGTAAGTTTTCATATTTGCCTCTCATCGGTTCCTTACCATGAAAATAATCCTGTGCTGTATTAGAATCTGAAACATAGTCTTGATTTAGCGCCTTTTTTTAAGTCTTCAAATTCTGGATATAGTATAGTTACTTCACTACGTTTAAAAATTGTCTTACACATCCAGGTTTCTCACAGTGACACAGACACTTCCCTTTAAACATATTTCCTTTATTTCAATACCTCTCTCCCTTAGCTCCTGAGTGTAATTCCCTGAAATTTATTTTTTTTAATTCCCCGAAATTTAAAAGAAGTACTCATTATAAAATGAAAATCTTAACTGATGAATTCAGACAAAAACTACATCTGGCGGACGCACAAGACGTCCCGAATACGTCCACCAGCTAAAAGGACATGCAGTTGCTTTGTTGCGGTTTGAAGAAAAACAGCATTCTTTAATTTTGCAGCTGAACCCAGTAGCAGAATCATCTTCCACAACAAGGAATAAAGTAATCAAAGTACCAGTGCAATGACTGTTCTCACTGCTGCTTTTAGTAAAGTTGCCTTGCTGTCGTTCGCCATAACTGGAGCCTAGGCCTGGTTGAAGGCTTAATCAGGAACTGTGATGCCGAGGCTGTGCTGCTCTGCTTTCTGTTGTTGCCTTATGGGGGTTATACTTGAAGCGCTTTGTGCAAAATGTTCTTAATAGGGCTGAAGGTTCATCCTTTCTGAGCTCACCAGACTTACTCATTCCCGTGTTGATTCGAAGTTGATGATGCACAGGCTTTTGGGGGCAGCCCCGCTTCAGTTTACGTTAGACAATCAGTACACACACGGGTTTGTTTTCCAGGGGCCAGTGCCAACAAAATGTTAAATGAGTACTTGTGAAATTTGCTATTTTTAATAAAGTGATTGTTTAAATTAGTCGTTATTGCCTTATTTTGAAGAAACCTGTAGTCTCCAGTCTGGGAATACAAGAGTTCAATCCTCAAAAGTAAACTGCATTTATAAAATTCGAGGTGCCTGGGTGGCTCAGTCGGTTAAGCATCCGACTTCGGCTCAGGTCACCATCTCACAGTTCATGTGTTCGAGCCCTGTGTCGGGCTCAGTGCTGACAGCTCAGCGCCTGGAGCCTGCTTCGGATTCTGTGTCTCCCTCTCTCTCTGCCCCTCCCCTGCTCGTGCTCTGATTCTGTCTCTTAGAAATAAACATTAAAATTTTTTTAAAAATAATAAATAACTTCAAGGTTATGTAATTCTCTTCCAGATTTTGCACCTTGTGGACATTTCAGTATTGGTGTCAGTCGTGAAAAGAGCACGGGCTTTAAAGTTAGACCTTGGGCTGAATACCCATCCTTCCCCTTAGCTTTGTATTCACACACATTTACTTAGTTTCTTTGGGTTTAACTTTTGTTTTTAACCTGGAAAATGAGATTACTAACCAACTCATAGGGGTCATGAGGAGAAAGTGAAAAAGTGTGTGTAGGATGCTTATCACAGCTGCTGACACCCAATAATGTAGAGCAAACATTCAGTTTACTGCTCATTTTACACAGCTTTATTGATATAACTCCTACATAAAACTGACCCTTGTCTGGGGCGCCTGGGTGGCGCAGTCGGTTAAGCGTCCGACTTCAGCCAGGTCACGATCTCGCGGTCCGTGAGTTCGAGCCCCGCGTCAGGCTCTGGGCTGATGGCTCGGAGCCTGGAGCCTGTTTCCGATTCTGTGTCTCCCTCTCTCTCTGCCCCTCCCCCGTTCATGCTCCATCTCTCTCTGTCCCAAAAATAAATAAACGTTGAAAAAAAAAAAAAAAAAAAAAAACTGACCCTTGTCAAGTGTACAACTCAGTGGTTTTTAGCGGGGGTCACGGTTGTGCACCGGTCAGCACACTCTAATTGTAGAGCATTTTCATTTCCAGAGAAACCCCTTGGCAGCTCACTTCCCATTTCCCAACCCCCCTGCCATTGGCAACCACTAATCTACTTCCTAGGAACTTGCCTACTCTGAACATCTTGTATAAATGGAATCCTACATGGTCTTTCATGACTGGCTTCTCTTAGCATAATATTTTCTAGGTTTTAGGGTTCATCCATGTTGTGGCATGGATCACTGGTGCGTTCATTTTCATGACCAGATCACATTCCGTTGTGCGGATAGCCACATTTTGTTTATTCAATCGTAGCTCAGTCGCCTTCACATTTTAAAAGACGCCCCTGCTTCTTCCTCGTTTCCAGGACAGAGAAACAAGCACCTAATTGGGGATGCGTGAGTGAAACCCACTGAATGGTACAAACAAATCTCAATCTTAGTAATTTTTGCCATTCTGAGCTCAAAGATTTTTGATCAACTTATCTGATTGCTCTTTTTTGATACTCGTTTTAAAAATGAGGAAATGAGCAGAATATTAAATACAGTCTTCCAAACTTTTCAGTTGGGTTGAGAGACTAGGGATTCCAGGGTGGGGAAATAGCGTTTTAGGGTCTGACAAAGCAAAAAGGAAATTTTGCCGCGTGACATGTTTTTCTTGGATGGGTCCTGAGATAGAGTGAAGCACAAGCTGTTTCCTGTGGGGTCACTGACAGAGCATCAGATTGATCTTGTTTATTCATCTGGTTCATTTGTCCTTTGTGTCAAGGGACCCCATGTGGGTCTCAGGTAATAAAATTTTAGCTTCTCTAATTGGTACACACAATTTAAACATATGTTAAAGGCAACAGGAAAAAGCTGAGATGCCTGGATTAGAATAAAACTGTACGAGGATCAAATTTACTATATGTTGTATATTCCTTGTAGACAAATTTTAATTACAAAATTACAAAATTACAAAATTACAAAAACAAAACAAAACACCAGAGCAAACCATTTATATTTAGTGTTACTTCCAGATCCCTTAAACGTGTTTGCTTTGGTTTTGGTACCTCCTGTATAACGCTAAACTTGACAAGAAGTATTAAAATATTCCGAGGATTTGCTGAAGATCAACCCCACCTTTCCCATCACACGGCCTTAAAACTGCTGGCTTTCTTTGCGACCAAGCTAACGCTGGCGTCAGTGTCCCATCTCCTCCTGGTTGGGGTCCCGCAGCCTGGCGTCTGCCCCTCCGCTCTAAGCCTTCGGGGGTCCCACCTCAGCCCCCCCCCCCCCCGAGGGACGGCGGAGGAGCCTGGGCCCCAGACTGGCCGGAATCCCGCAGCGGCCGTGGACAGGCCTCGGTGGCCCACACGGGGCCAGCACCCCCCGCCCCGCGGACACCTGCGGGCTGCGGCCAGGCGCGCGGGGCGGGGACTCCGAGGAGCGCGGTTGGGGGGGGGGGGGATGCTGCCCGTCCCCGTGGAGACCGCGCGCCACCCGTCCTCGCCGCGCTCCGGGGCGGCCGCTGGCTGCAGCCCCCGCTTGTCACTCGGCGGTCCAAAGAGGAGGCGCTCCGGCCCGGGTCCCTCGGCCACCTCCGGGAGGTAAAGCCCTTGGCCTCCGGGCCGCGCAACTTTTGCTTGAGACCCCTCGGGCACAGCACCGGGGCGGTTTAGCTTCCCTGCGCGACCTCCGGAAGACCCGAAGCGGCGCTGAGGCGGGCACCGCCCCTCCCCCACCCGTGACCTTGAGAGCCGCAGCAGCCCCACGATTATCCAAAAAGCTGCAGTGGCTCCGGGGAGAAACAAAAGCAATCTTTCCGTGGGTTTGACTTGGGCGGTGCCAAGGAAACTCTTAACCTCTTCCAGAGCTTTCATCTGGGCTAGAAATGAAGTCAAGTTATTGAGCACTTTGGAAAACAGTGATTTTCATCCGACCCCAGACTGGTTCACACCAACGCCTCTCCTTCTTCCAGTTTTCAGCTCTTCCTACGGTAGAGTCACGGGAGCGTGGGGAGTGGAGCTGGGGGCAGTGACGGGGAAATACACCCTGTTGAGAATACAGTTCCTGGTTCGAATTCTGTCGCTCTAGGAGTTAATATGCTAAGATTTGATGAACAGGACAAACAACTAAAGACATGATACTTCCTTTTTTTTTCTTCTTTTTAAAAGTACAAAGTGCTGCGCTTTTTAATAACTTTCTCCATAGTATCAGAACAGAATATACCGACATCATCTGTATCGAAGTTCAGCAAAACACAGGCAATTTGTTTTCGGGCCCTTCTTGACACTTGCGCACCTTGGGAGTCCTCAAAACTCATGTTTTAAAACTTATTTCAGTAGGAGAAAGTAGGGATTAGGAACTTGAAAGTTTACAACAGCCATGGCTGGTTATTTCTCCCGAATGAGTTTAACTAGTGCAATTGCTTCTTGTTGCAACTTTAATCTTGTAGTTTTAAACTTACTTATCGGGGAGCCAATCCAACATTTATGTGCATTTGGGCTCACAAGTGCGGCATTTCCGATCACCTCCTGTGCCATCAGTAGTGCAGATTTCCTCAAAACATGCTGTTACCTTCATCATCCATTACTTTTTTGTGCATTTAATAAAATAATATACCAGTTTATGTTCAAAATAAGTCATGTTTTTATATGTCCTGAAAAACAGGCATTTAAGTGGAATAATCTTTCATTCCTGTTTTCATAATCACACACATTGTCCTTGTACTCTGGTTTTTTCACAGTCTTTAAAACCAGATAACTCTTCAGAGGCATATTTAAGGGATTAAATTGGGATTTCTTCCCTACGCCTAGTACTTGATTCTTTTTTCATGTTGCAAGAAGACTTTCTATAGATTTTTGTTTTCCATGCATAGAATCTAAAAGTTTCTTGAGGAAGTAATGCCAGGTACTTACGTTAAAAGTTTAGGTGAGTTTGCAATAGCCTCTGAAATGTTGAAAATATAGATCATGCTTAAGGGATTAAATTTCAGATAATAAATGAGGCGTTGTGCAACTTGCAGGTGTGAATCATAAAAGGACTCAAATGTAGGTACCTCTGTGGCAGAGAACAATGTTTGTTTCTAACTTGCACTTCAAGTCATTTTGTCTACTACAGTGGGGCAGGACCAGGCGAATGTACATTTCTCCAACCGGGTAAGGCTGTGGAAACATCGTTAATGACAACATGATCCTGTGCTATCCTGGTGATAATTTAACGCTGTACAGACCGGCAATTGGCCAGCCATTTCAACCCTTAATCTGGCTTTGGTTGTCACATAACAGGCTCCTCCCCACCTCACCCATCACCCCACCTTTTTTTTTTTTTTTTTTTTTTTTTTTACTAGGCATAGAGGTAGTAGTAGGTCAGTTGCTGAGTTCCTCATCAATATGCCAGTTGTAAAGGATAGTCGGCCATGAAAGAGAAATCGTATTTCCGGATTAACCCATAGCAGCCATAGATCCAATTTATTACACTCACTCTTTAGGAAAAATCCAGTATAATTTTTAAATTCAATAACCAACTATTCCCTGTACGACCTTGGATGGTTTTCTTTACCCTGTTTTTCTCCTCTGTAATCTAACTCCCAGGGTGAATGTGAGAAGGAGCTAGTGTGTGGGAAAAAGATTTACTAGCACAGTGCCGGTTAGAAGAGCCACTCAAACAAAAATTAAGAT